ACGGAGGGAGGAAGGCGAAATTCCCAGCAGGAAAGCCCATGCGGCTCGACAATGATGGAGAGGTGATCCACAACTCCCAGGAAATGGCGGACCAGGAGCTCAACCATTTCGCGAAGATACAGGCGGGGAAGATCGTGACAGCGGATGACCTTGCTGACAAGTACAATCACGACAGCAAGATCAGGCCTTTCGACGGCATGCTGGATCTCTCCATGGTGATGCCCCTGGCCGTCTGTCAGGCCCAGTTCGCTGCGGCCAAGGCTGGGACGCAAGGAGGCCCCGACGGGCTCGCGAACGCTGTCCTCAGGGCGGCCCCCACGGAGGCAGCGAGGCTACTGCACCCCCTCTTCACCAAGGTGGCGACCACCGTGCGAGAGCCGCTGAGCTTCAAGGGCGGAGACCTGGTCGCAATTCCCAAAGGAAAAGGCGACCCAGGGTACCTCCAAGCCTACCGCGAGATCCTCTTGAACAACGTTCTGGGCAAGCACCACCACAAATACCTAAGGACCATGCTCAACACTACCCTCGCCATAGCGCTGGAGGACATCCAGGTTGGCGGCCGGCCCAAGCGAGGGGCGGACATGGCGGTCCTTGCAGCGCGCCTCTTCACCGAGAGAAGTCAGGCCCAAGGGAAGTGCTCCATGATAAGCTGCTACGACTTAAAGGAGGCCTTCTACTCGGTTGTAGTCCAACTGGTACATGGTATCCCAGGTGAAGAGGACGAAGTCCAGGAGGTGCTAGAGAACCTCGAGGTTCCCCTGTGGGCCCAGCCGCAGCTGGAGCACCTCATGGCCAACCCAGGGATACTCGACACAGTGTTGGACGGCTCCCACCTGGCTGCCCTCATTGCAGAAGGATATCGCAACAGGTGGACATCACACAGGTTTTCCCAGAACCTTATGGCACCGCACAAGGGCACGAGGCCTGGCGTGCCCCTGGCCGACGCGGACTTCAATCTGCTATTCGGCCGAGTCCACCGCATGATTGACAACTACCTGGCGCAGCGAGGACTACGACCTCAGGGCAAGCCTCTTGACAGCAGCTTCGCATGCGACAACGACCCCACAGATGGGCCACTCCAGGAGCAAGAACCACACGGCCTATCGTTTGTCGATGGCCTAACGGGCATGCACGTGTTCACCAGCCCCGACCACATTCAGCATGAGGCCACCGAGTTCTGCGAAGCCGTCTACTGCGCCGCCAGCACCTTCGGCCTCCAGCTGCAACTCACCAAGACCAAGGTGATGATTGACTTCAGTGGGCCTGGGAGCCGGCAAGCGCGGGCCAGTTTCTACGCCGAGGGAGTGCCGAGGATCGAGGTCCCCCTCGCAGGGAGTCACGTCGAGGTGGTTCGTCACCACAAGCTCCTCGGGACCTACGTGACCGACAATGCATCCCCTGGGGTGGATGTCGCAGTGAAGGTAGCCACTGCAGCGACATCCACGAGGCCTCTCCATCGTGAAGTCCACAGGCGATCAGAACTGGCAATCAAAGACAAGGCCTATTTAGCCGACAGCGTGGTGCTATCCCAGCTATTATACAATGCGTCTACCTGGCCCGAACTCACCGCAGGCCAGGCCAGGAATTTCAACAACCAGTACATCGTCAACTACGCTGCGGCGCAGAGGATCACTTGGAAAGTACGACAGAAAAAGGAAGTAACGAACACCCAGATCCTCGAAGGAGTCGACAAGCTGCCCCCAGAGATAGTCCTGCGACTTGAGAGGTTACGGCTATTTGGCAGATGCCTCAACTGGGGACCCCTGCACCTCCGCCGGCTACTTAGCCAAGCATGGGACGGTAGCTACGGCTGGGTGGCACTGCTCCGCCGAGACCTGGATTGGGTCCGCGACCACACAGGACCTGACGAGCGTGGTGGAGCATACACGCTCGAGGACTGGAAGGACTGGGCCAGGAACGACTACCAAAGCTACCTCAGCGCAGTAAAGAAAGCTTGCCAACGTGGCAAAGCTCGCCAGTACGACCACGACCACCATGCTCGATGGAGGCTTCGACTCCAACGGTGGACCAACACGGAAGCCATCTCGTCCTTCCCAGACCAGCATTTCGAGCATCAGCGCAAGTACTTATGCTACCACTGTGGACGTACTGAAGCCAGCGCAGCAGTGCTACGAGCACAC